CTAAAATTTCATGTCAACGCATCATAATTTATTATAGGAATTTGCGTTAAAACGTCGAACGCATTAAACTTCATTTACATCATCGTTATACAGAATCCCTGGGAAAGTTCGCTGATGTTCAATAAAGTTGTCTATGCTGCATTTTAATATCACATTTTCAATATTTCATTAATCATTATGAGGCATTTATCAGGGGGCTACATTTTTCATATAGAAATGAACATGTTAGTGACATTAATTACGGTTCCGTACCAATCAGCTGGAATAACAATAAATGATAATGATTTTTTTGTTTATATGCTTTACTAATTTTGTTTTAAAACTTTTTTTGGTGAAAGATGTTCATGAAATGTCTCTTTGGCATAGTTAGTTTTCAAGTTTTTTAATATTTTTTAACTTCCCATAGGGTAAGTTATAGTAATGTTCTGGTCAAGATTTGACCAGGGCTTCTTCTACTTTAACCCGGAACCCTTCGGGGTAGGGGATGCAATGGTATGAGTATAAATACCTGTAACTTATAATAATATGAGAGACTAGCAAATGTAATTAGAGAAGAAGGTTGTAAAGTGAAGTTCAATATATATCATAATTTAAATAGTGGTTTTATTCACTTATCTTATGGTGATAGAATATTTATAATTTACAGTCCGCTTATATCTAATTAATTATAATGATCCTCACCATCGTCCAAAAATTGAAAATGAAAATTTTTGCATATCTTTACGTTTTAGAGATTTCTGAACATTTTGGCATACCTCAGAAAAAAAATGGATGTGTATGTGTGTATGTACATTTGTGGATTTGCGTGATGTGTGGATACAATTTTTCGTTGACGATGTCGGGCGTTCGGATAACCGATTTGAATGTTTCAAAATAGATAAGGAATCGTGCTGATTAGTTTTTGGCAAAAGAAAGGTCCAACCGTTTAGAAAATGCGGAGTATAGAATGCAAAAAAAAGAAATTAAGTTTTTGAGATTAAAAAACACCATATTTGAATTATTCAACAAAACATTCTATTTATAATGATGTCATTGATGATGAGGTCATTAGTTTTTGGCAAAAACAGGTCCAGTCGCTGAGATACGGAGCTAAAATTGCAAAAAGTAGCCGGTTTTGTGAAACAAAGCATCCGATTCGAATGATTCAAAAAATATTTTGCTTGTGTGAAGAAACAATCATTTTTTGGAGAAGGCAAAAAATATGCAAATGGATGCTTCGTTTTCTAAAAAAGTGTCATCTCATGCACTTTTCGCTTCGTATCTCCAAAATGGCTCGACCTATTGCTGCATAAAACTAATCATGACGTCCCCCCATCAATACAAATTTAGCGTTTATTTATTAATTAAATTCGGATACTCCGTTTTCTCAAAAATTTAATTTCTATTTTTTGCACTCTTTGCTCCGTATCTCGGAAGCATCTCAACCTGTATTTGCCAAAAGCTAATCAGCACATTTCTCTAGCGATAGAAATCGAATGTTTTTTTGAATAATTCAAATTGGTTAATCGGTGCTCCCGAAAACGACGTCAATATTGTATCCATACATACACACATGCATGCAAACGTAAAAATATATTAAAAAATTTAATATTTGATTTTTTTGCGATTACTATAACTTACCCTACGGGAAAAATGTTATCACCCGCGTGCATTGTTCAAAGTGTTCTCTCTTATAACCGACTGGATTTTTAAAATTTTTGAAAAAAAATAGTTTGTTTGTTTTTCTTTTATTATTTTGGACTTTTTTAAGAAATCGCGCTGCATTGGCTGTTTTAGAGTCAAAATATCAAGGTGTGTTGATATATCGAATTTTGAAGTTGAGTAGAAAATTCGTTTCGACTTCTTGCATTCGTGCGATGGCAAGGTAGTATATATAGAATAAAGTTTCATGAAATGCGTGCAATGCTTAAAAAGAAGTATCTGTTTCAATCAATTTGTACAGTATCCTCTATAAATAAGATTTGTCCATCCTAGATTTTTATTTCAATGTTAACATTCTTGAGACTACACATCCACTGTAAAGTATATAAACCAAAAGCATAAACTGATTTCGCTCGAACAATATTTTCCATTGAGGCTATAATAAAAATACGATATCTTGGCTGTTTCAGAAGCATGCGTTGTGAAAATAAACATTCTTGTAGAAATCCTCATATAATCCGCGCTAGTTTATGTTAAACGCGACATCGTTCCCACGCGATGTGGAACGGGCGCCTAAGCAGACCAGAAAAAATAATAATAATAACGCGAAGGATGAGGCTGCGGCGACCGAGGGAAAGTAAACCATCAGCGCCATTCGGTGGCGCGTGTGTAAACACTATCTAATCGAAAAAATACATATTGAATACACACGACGGATGCGGATTGGCATTCGGCCCGCTAACTTATATACTGGATTCGAGATCCACTCTATGCGGTTATTATATGAATCTTGTTCTATCTTGGAAGTATACTTTATGGAAATTACAGTTCGGACAGAACGGCTTCTGTTAACCCGAGAGTGCTTATTTGTTATGGGGCACATAAAGCCTTAACATACATTTCAAAGGCCTATTGTCTCTTTTATCTACGCATTTATGATCTTATACCATTACAAAGGCATAAAAGTAGTTCAACAAATATTTTTAGGAAATAATTTATAAATCAATTAAAATTAAGTTTTATCTAAAATACTGTGGAATACTATATCTATTGAGTTTCTAATCAGTTTATTTTATACAAGATAATTAACAGAAAGAGGTTATAGTGATAATGCATTAACAAACATGAAAAATATTATGAATTGTATAAATAGTTATCTTGTTTGATATAAAAAAAACATTTGGGATTATTTGAAACAAAATCTTGGGGCTAGTTGTACCATACAAAATTCATATACAGATTCAAATGAACAATAATGAATGGATTATATTGTATGTAAGAGCTCTTACATACTATATATTCCATTCATTCAGGTGAGCACATTTAAATTGAGTGCACATATAAATTTGAAATAGACATTATATATATTTTTTTGTATTCTGATATTAATTCTAGATACGTTAATTTACATATTACTGGAGACATTATATATTTTATTTGTATTAATTTTAGTTTGCGTTTATGTTGAAAATAATTACTTAGAAACAAGTTATTTTTTTTAGATAAGTGGAGAACTAGTGGGGCGCATGGTACGTGCCTTAAGGCAAATTGCCGGAACTTCCCGTACCATTTTTTTTTTTTAAAGACTAACATTTTTGAAAAAAAAATTACTCTGAAAAATTAGATTTCTGAGAAACTATAAATTTTTGACAAAAATTTACTTTTCTTTGAAAAAAAAGACTTTTTGAAGAAAAGTGTATTTTGAAATATTTTGGAAATTCTGAACTTTTTCAAAATTCAAAGCAATCGTACTACTTTAACTGCATAGAGACGAACTTTTCAGCACGTCTCCTTATCAATACGAATCGAATGTTTTTTGAATTATTCCAATCGCTTCATCTGTGTTCCCGAAATCGTCAACAAAAATTTGTATCCGAACACACATACATACACACACACACACACACACACACAAAGATATATAAAAATTTTCATTTTCGTTTTTTTGCGATTACTATACCTTACCCTACGGGAAGTTAAAATCATTGTAATTTTTTTGTCGTTACTACTTGCTCTGGTAGATGTTTCTACAAATAACCTCAAACACGAGGTAAATTATAACACCGCACTTTTACTAAAAATTAATTAATTGTGAAATAATTAACAATATTTATGGATATATTTTTGATTGATTTGGTAGAGGAATAGTTACAGCAACTATCCAGCTTTATTTCATTATTTATTAGAAATATAACAAGTGCATTTCAAGATCTACTAATTTGAAACAAAACTGTTAACACCAGCCCCGTGTTAAGTTTCCCTTATTATATGTTCAAAACAATTTGAAGTGTTTGTTTGTTAAATAATTTTTATATAATATTTATTTGCAAATCTGGAACTAGCAGTTCGTCCTAAAGCAGAATGCAATACCTAAATTTTTATTTTTATTTATAGTTTTAAGTAGTAATTACAGTAGAAATTCGATTAACCAGACTAATTGTTGTCGATAGACATTCGGATAATCGAAAATCCGGATAATGAAATGTACGAAAAATTTATTGAAAATAACAAATATTTATATAGATATCAACGAAAATCAATGTTAATTAAAAAATTAACACTTATGTATGTATATACTAAACTGATATATATAAATCATGGAACAAAATGTATGTACGAATAATTCGGTACATTTGGTAATCGTGAAATAAGTTTAATTCGGTTTAAAATATTTAGTAGTTGCATTTAATTGCTTGCATAAATTCGATTTGTAAGTATGTACATTAAGGTAGTCCTTAATATGGATGTTTTTGAAGTTTTTTACTACCAGGTGCTCAAATGCTTCCAAATTGATAAAAAAAAGTGCTCTAAAAGTTTTAGCTCTTAATATTAACTTTAAGATAGTCCGCACTCTAATCAAACTTTCTTGGATCTTCTTTCTAGATGAATACTTTATATAAAATAACATATTTTTGTTATAAATTTTTTATCTATGATCAAAATAATTATTAACAATAACTATAAGTAAATACAATATTATTTTCAAAATTTTGATTCACTTATTGCTATGTTATAAAATTCTAAAAAACAAATGGAATTTGCCCATGTAATTTACATGAGAAACTTTGGTTGGAGTGCTGACTATCTTAAAGTTAATATAATATTAAGAGCTGAAACTTTTGCAGTTTTTTTTTATCAATATAGAATTATTCAAGTTTTTGGGAGCAATGAAATTCATAAATATCCATGTTAATCAGACCACCCGAATTGTACATACATATAAATTGGTCGCTGTTGGTAGTCGGGATAATCGTGAACCCATATAACTGAGAGCGGTTAAACGAGTTTCTACTGTAGTAAATTAAATTTTAAATAGTTTGATTTTAGTTTATAATTATAAATATATCCTTTATCCACAGATGGTGACGGTTGATCCGACCACTATGCCGAACACGAGTTGGGAGGAGGCGGAACTCGATTCGGTGGAGGCGCGTGGCGACCTGCAAGACCCCGTGACCATCCTGCTTATCGGTAAGCGACTCCCGTACGATGTCACGTGTCATGAGCACCGACTTGTTCCTTCTCAGTTCTCACCGCTTTCATCTTGTTATCGCTGTTTTTCTATTCCTTTACTTCTTTTTCTTTATTTCAATCGAGTCAGACGACTTCATCCCGTAATACGATGTCAAGCAATCGCATCGCACCAAAACAGAGTTTAATGTTCATCCAATTTAGTTGGTTCAAGCAATCGTGTAATGTTTTATTTGTTCTATTTGTAAGTTTTATGTTTTACATATACAAATTTTAGGTTTTACATAATTTTAATCAAAATTGACTTTTAAAAAGCATTGTAAATGAAACGTTTCATCACAAGAGCCTATAAGTTCTGATTACAAAACTGCAAAAGTACTTTTCAATTTTTCTAATTTTTGGAATTTAATTGTTGAGTATTTTATTAAGTTTTATTTTTAGTTTCTACTGCTTAGGCTATTATATACCTTAGCACAGGCTTAAGGTATAACGGAAACGTATAGATTTTAGATTTTTTTATAGAAACTCATGTTTTTATTGATTATTATATTATGCCTGTTTATTTGACTATATACTATATATATATATATATATATATATATATATATATATATATGTAACTAGCAGCCCATTCGTAAAAAGTTTTAAAAACGTTTTATTTATACGTTTCGACACCAGGTGCGTGTCATCATTCAGCAACACCAGGACAAAAACACTAAAACAAATTTTTTTTTAGAAAATTAAAATTGTATCAATGCAAGAGGCCATTTTTGGCAAAATAATAATTAATAACCACAAAATTAAAACCATTTTGATAAAAGTTATAAACTGTAACACATTATGACGCATGAAACACGCCCATATCAAGCAAAACGATATATATATATACACGTATATAATTTCTGTGTCACGAAGTTCCTTCTTGTACTTTTCCGAAACGGCTTCACCGATTTTCACCAATTTTTATATTTATATTAAGTTGGTCTGAAAATCGGCCACTATCTATTTTTCATACCCCTAAGTGATAAAGGTTGTTGTTTCTACTTTTTTTTGTTTTTTTTTTTATATAATGTGGCATTAAAAATACATAAGAGGGCGTCCATTAATCACGTGATCGATTTTTCAAGGATTTTTGGACCCGCTCTTTTCCTTGGTGATACATGGTGATATTCAAAAATACCCCCCCCCCTGACCAAACATCACGTGTATTTTTAGGTACGAGAAAAAATGTAAACTTTTAGATTTTTTTTGAAAATGTTTAAATTATTATATTATTATAAATTTGTCATCCCTCCCCCTAAAAACCTCACGTGATTAATGGACGCCACCTAGCCCTAAATCTTTACTATTTTTCATAAGTATCCCCTTTTTTATAGCTATTTTAGTAATTCAATCATTTTTATCCCGCGTTGCAATCATTGAGTATTTTTGACTCGATTTTAATTCGGATATTTAAGCTTAAACAAAAAGATTAAATTTTACTTTGAAAAACAATTAATTTTTATCAAGAGTTGTCCACCTTCAATATTTTTTTGCAATTTTGGGACCGATTTTATTTATTTTAATTTTATATGATTCAAAATTCAAAAATACATTGTACTCTTTTTACTTCGAGAAACTATTTATTTTTATCAAGCGTTGTTCATCGCTAACTTTATTAAAATTTCATAATTAATTTTCTTTTAATTTCAATTTTCATAATGCGAAATTAACAAATGCATACAACTCGAATAATTTTTGACCGCGCTTTCAGGCGGTGAATGTTTTATTACGCATGAATTTTTCTTGACAATAACAATTTATTTTTATAAAAGGTTGTCCACCCCTCCCATTTTTCCATTGTACAAATATTTCTAGATGCGCACAAACAGTACATAGTTTATAAATGGTTTGCATAAAAAGCAATTATTGCCAAAAATTAGAGACATTAAATATTAAAGTGTGAAGATACAACAGTTTGGTAGGAAACTAGGTGCCATACAAATTTATGGTAGAGTTGTAAAATTTTTCAGTCTCTCATTTTTTTTCAATCTTAGTCAATTCTTTGGGCATGCCACATAACAATATAATTTGAAAATGAATTATCAGATTTTGTTTCGCACAGATATTATTATTAATAATTTTAATTTTCTCATCTAAAAGCATCCGTTTTTTCTCAAAAATTGTTTATTTAGTTTTTTTTGTTTAATTATTTATTTAGATTTTTTGTTTAATTCATTCTACATTTCGGGATACGGGAATGAGCTCTTTGTCAAATATATACAGTATATATATATATATATATATATATATATATATATATACTTTACTAAACTAAATGCACCGGGAATAGTGCAGCTTTATTCGCCGCCATAAACTCAAAATAATTTGATTAATGTGATATGCGTAGTTATGCTCAATTGAAATCATTTCAAATAATTAATTCGGGCGATCTAGAATATTCTCTAAACATGGTTCGCTTCATAAAATGCTTATTGCGTATAATTTTAATCATATTAGCAACTTGTTACTCGTAATAAAGAAAGTACTGAATCGAGAAAATAAAATTATTTGAACTCGGCCAAGAAAAAATTATTTGCTAGACAAATTAAATTACTGAAATTACCATTTCCGAGAAATTACATTTTAACTGAAGTAAAAGCAGCTTGTTCATTCCGGAATTTTATTATAGTTAATATTATAATATGTATACTGAAGACTACATACATTATTATTTATTACAAAAATATGTAAACGTTTGTGTGTCGCAGCTTTTTGATACTCTAAATTAATATTACTTCAATTCAAAAAAAAAACTTCAATAATAAGGTTGATAATTAATAATTTAATTTTAAATATAGCTTTTAATAAAATATAAAAAAAATTCAATCATATTAACTTCTCATTATAATTGGTGAAATCCTATTGTTAATAAATCATTTCCACATTCTGCAACTGTTAATTTAAAATTAAAACATTTCAAAAAACATTTGATTCGTATGAATGGGGAGACATGGTGATCAGTTTTTGGGCAAGCCAGGTCCCCGGTCGTTTCGAAGATATGCAGCAAAAGGTTCCAAAAATTGTAATTCAGTTTTAGAGAGAACGGACGTCCGATTTAAATGGCCCAAAAAATATTTTATGATATTTTATTAATGAAGCGAAGAACTGATTAAATTTTTGGGAAGGCAGGTTTAGCGGTTCCTGAGATCTATTGACAAAGGTTAAAACAATGGCATTTGACGGTCAAAAATGATCATTAGACATATACGCATGAAATAATCTTATACTGTATAGAGATTATCTACTTTATCTAATATTACAAGATATATATATATATATATATATATATATATATATATATATATCGTCTCGAAAACAGCTACGCAGCGTTATTGTTTTGAAGAAAATTCAGTATATTCTTAAAATTTCAAAATATAAATAAAACTTTCAAATTTTTCAGAAAAGTTCAATTTTTTCCAAAACTTCAAAAATTCTCAAAAACCTATTTTTTTTCAAAATTTTCAGAAAATTCTATAATTTTTGATTTTTACTTCAGCAAGTTTCAGCAATTTACCTTAAGGCAAGATGCCGTGCACGACTAGTTTTAAGTTAACCTGTAAATGCTTCAACTTTATACCAGATCGTGCGAAATCAATAAATAATTTAAAATTACTTTGATAAATTTCTTCAACGTTTCTCGAATATAAAGCATTAATCTTATGAAACATTATATAGAGTGCAAGTACGTTTCTCAAATTTATCATCACTTGACCTTTATGAAATTTGACCACCGTGCAACCAGAAACGCTCTTATTGGTAAGTCAAGCGTGTATAAGCCGAAACCTAATATTCGATCGTATCGAACCACAAAAGCGATTTAATAGTGTTTGTATGGGCGCTATTGTAATATCTAAGAGCAAATCTCAATCATTAATCGATTGTGTTCAAAGCTACACATCATTCAGTATATGAATACTTCAAATGATACATTAATTTATACAAGTGTGCAATGGTAACTACTCTCATAGTTCTGCATAATATAACTATATTGCATATTTGCATATTTGCAGTTGTACACCTAATATATAGAAATTAATGCAACTTCAAAATGCTGGACAAAATTGCGTTTCATTAATTTGAATGATTGAAGCGAACATTTTTTTTTCAAAATATATTTGAAAAACTAATTTAAACATTATGTGTTTCCATAATTACTTGCACACACTCCACTCAGAAATTTCGATTAGAGTAAAAAATGATTTATGAGGCGGGGCACAAAGGTCCAATTTGACTTTAAATAATTATATTGTCTGAACAAAATGAGCTACATCATAAAACATAACACGTAAACAAACAACTGTCAAATTATATTCAGTAATATTTCCAGTTAATTCCTAATTATACAAATGTGTTTTTTACCATTCTTCTACAATTTGTCATGTTTCTTTTTACCCCATAGGCTGGATAAAATGGGACAGCCAGGGGGCATATCCAATGTTTAATTTTTAATTTTGAAGGGCTTTTACCTACTATTTTAATAATAGATATATTATTCATTCAATGCAAAATATTAATTTCATGGGTACATTTTTTACAAAAGTAACACTGCATATAACCTTGATCTGGTATTTCGACAAAAATAATTATCAGCAGAGTTGGAATAACTATTAATTTCATTTATTTCTTAAGAAATTGTTTTTGAAACTGAATTTACATTTTTATTTACTACTTTTTCTTGCTTACACCTTTGCCAGTGTAAAGGTTGATCCTTTTTACCCCATCCACACATGTAAGCTATTAGAGAGGTTATAATTAACAATACATCTTATGAAACAATTAAATAAAGTGTACCTAAATTTTATTAAAGGGTCTTGTGAACTAAATCAAGAGTGCTCACAACCACAAAAAACTAACAACGAAAGAAAATACTTTTGTTATAGATTTTTAAACATTGTCGTTTATCTCCTGATAGCAAAGTCACTCGTTTTAAGGCGATGCAAAAATTGTTTAAAAAAATC